GGGAAAGTAAGTAAGTAAGCAAATGAGCATGCCAGGCAAATGAACCTGTCTGGCAAACCTGTCGGACACTTAAGCTGACGGACAACCGATTGTCGGGAAAATGTTCCAGACTCTTTAAAACTTATACAAATCTATCCTGAAAAGTTGAAAGAAGTAGTTCTAACTGTAGCAACTCTTTCACCAACTCAAGTTAGTGTGGAAAGACTATTATCAGCTTCAAAGTTTATCAAATCGGATCTACTGTGCTCTATCATACCTACCTGCCGAAATTATACTGCTTCTTAGAACTTACTAAAGCCCTGTTTTTCCATTTCATAATGAATGGTAATTAATATAGATCGTTTGCTATGCCATCATATTTTTTTTCTGTAGCATCTATTACTTTTTTTATAGTAAAAAAAAAACTATCAATACATGTTGCTCGAATATATATATATATATATATATATTCGAGCTTGCAATTTTAACTTCATGGGGTTCAAATTGTGCTAAAATTAAAATAAAATTAATAAAAGAAATTGTTGCTTGTAAAGTATTTATCTTTCATTTAACGTTTTTTTTTCATTTATTATATTTCACTGTTTCATTTTTTTTTATTTTTAAATTATGTTCCTTATGACATTTGATTTCAATACTTTCCCCATCGGTTAGTAATAGGGGCGTATATTTTCTCTGAGGGGGGATGAGTAAGAAAGATTTGGTAACAGGTTTCAACAGGTAGCAGGTCAAAGATAGCTTGAAATAGGGTCATGTTTTTTCGAATGTTTCTATTTCAATTTTTTTTTTAGAATTTCTTCAGGTACAAAACTATTTGTTTCATTATAAATTTAATTGCACAATTTTNATATATATTAATATATATATATATATATATATATATATATATATATCAAATTTAATTTCCAGGTGTCGAAGTCGGCTATTTTCCCTACCGACTCCATCCACAGCCCTGGTTTTTGATGTTTTTTATTCCGTTTTCCCCACTAGTGATTCGGCAGGTAAATATTCCATTTTCGTTTCTTTCTCACTTAATTAATAGCTTCGGACCTTCAATTTTACTTGACCCTTAGTTGGTTTCTGACCTTCAATTATGACTTTAGTTTCTTTATTTTTTTACCGAAACTTTAAAAAAAATATAGAAAGAGCATTTCGTTTAATAGGAAATACAAAATGAGTAGTTTTCTAAGCGAAGCAAATGATAATAGTATTTTGAAAACACTTCCACAGTTTATTCTTGATTAGCTGCTCTATCTATTGACGAATTTTGCAAATAAATGTTTGCAATTGCAGAGAGCAAATTCAGCACACATATACCTCGTTCCGTTTTCTATAATTACTTTTTCCAACATTTGCACAATTTTGGGACATTCCTATTTTGACGTCACGTATAGACAAACGCTCAACTTCATCAATCCAATGGTGTTCATTAAGACATTTGTGATGTCTGGTGGCGCCACCCTCAAGAAAAGGAAAGAGAAAAAGAAAAGAAAAAACAGAGAAGGTAAGACTCTGATGGAGAGCGGAGGTGTATGCTAGTAGTTTTGGTTTAGTGATTTAATTATGTTTCATTTTCTTTCAATTCAATTACAATTGTTAATAAATAGTTTTTTTCGTGTTACAAATCGATTGCCATTTTTTGAGTTATATCACTTGGGAAGCATCAGGGTGAAGGAAAGAAGGTAAAATATCACAACATTGTTAGCAGCGAATGTAATTAAATATTTTATTAACGGAGACCACTAGATAGAGTTATAATCATACAGGTTATTGTTCAGAAAATGTGACATTTGAGTTTTATAATGATCTTTTCTTTTTCATAATGAAACTGTTGAAGCAGCTCTATACATATTTCAAAAGCAAAAACAAATTTAAATAATAAAAATTATGACTTACTGACTTAATTTGTAAAATATCACCTCTTCCCCTAGTTAGTAACCTTATAGTCAAATATCCAAAGAAGAATTTCAGTATTAATGCTATAATTATAATAAATATATATAAATTGTGAATATTTTTGTAGCTATAATTCATGTTACTAAAAATATAAAAAAAATTTTACTTCAATTTCCTCAAATAAATACTGCTGCTTAAATTATTTGCCCCTTTTTATAAATAAAATTAAATTGGCTACTAAAAGCCCACACGATTGAACCAAAATGAATAAAATGACACCTTATTCTTCACGCATTATATTAACTTAATACATTATACAGATAGTCTTCATAAATTATATAGTTATTTATTCTGTATAGTTAATTTCTCCGTTATAGGTTAAATTTTTGCAATTAAATCAACTAAAAAATTTCCAAAAAATATTAAAATAATATTAAAAATAACTATTTTTTACACCTTCTATATTTTATTTTAATTACAAAATTAAATTTTTATTTCATGATTTATTACCTATCTAAAAACTAAATTTAAAAAACACATATAGAGATTATTGACTCTAGGCAAAATACTATACAACTTTTTGTCACTTCTGTCGATATTGCCCAAAAAAAAATTGGTAGTAGAAACAGAAATCAATTTTAGAGAGATGTTAATTGATAATTTTATTATCTCTTTTTTTTTTACGTACCAGAAGTAGTCAATATTTTCCCAAAAACAAATAACATTTTGGTAACAACTTATAGTCTCTCTCTCTCAAGCTCTTTTTTGCTACTCTGGACCAAAACTCAAGCCAGAGCTTATAAAATGAAGGTCTCGAGAAGGAAAAATAATTTTTTCAACAACACTGGATAAGCAGTCCATATTTACAAAAATTACGAAAAATATTTATGAAAAAAGTAGTTAAATTCAAATAATTTTCGCACAATTGGAATTTCGAAAGAAGAAAAAAACTATATACTCGCGTTAAGTTACGAAATAAAAATGGTTTCTAAATATAAAACTTATTTTCAAAATTCGATTTCTCAGGAATTATTTGACAATTTTTTTATTTTGCTACATTAAAATTATATTCTTTAAAATGTTGCAAAAATTTTTATGCCTTAACAATTCAGAATTTCCTTTAATATCATTAAATAAAATAAGGAAAAATATTTAATTATTAAACAGTATTTTTTGCATGAAATTATCTTAGAAAATTTTTTTTATAATTGAGTATATATGTACATGGCAAACTCTATGTACCTGGCAAAATACGTTAAATTAAAACTAACGTTGCATCCATGCTTTTAAAAGTTTTCCTAGCCAAACTTTTTGGTAGAAAAACGTATTTGATGTCTCGTGAAACAAGGCTATAAATCTAGGTTCGTAAACTAAAATATTCGAGCTTCAGTTCTAAAATGTGCATTTTTCTCATTTCAGATAAAGTATTAAAAAAGCAACTAATTTTTTGGCTAAATTAATTAAAAATTTAATTTATACACTGGATTTTAAACTAAACGTACCTTAGATTATTATTTAATTGAAATACTCAAATACCATTTTATCTATACCTTCTCCTAGAAAGTCAACAGGAGAAATTAAATTTAGGTCTAATATTGCCTAATGTTTACTAACTAATAATAATAACTAATACTTCTTCAATGAACAATTTTTGAAAAACTGGAATTAAAATTATTTGAATTGCTTTCACTGGGTCAGTTGACTATAGATGGCAGCATTAAATTTGTAGAGTTGTTTTGAAAATTTATGAGAAAAAATACCTTTGGTTATTTTTCAGAAGAAAAATAAAAACAATAAATAATTGAAAATAAGTAAAAAATGTCAGAAACATAAATTCAGTCCCATTTAAGATCTTGCATAGCTTTTATTTTCATGTTCTTTTCTTTACGAGATTTTGAGAAAGCTGTAAAATATTCTACAGCAATGTTTTGTAATTCGAAAATTTTTTACTTGTTTCTTATTGAAAACTTAATATTATTCTCTTAAATCTAAACTTTATATATAAATAAAAATAATTGAATGAATTCTTTGTAAAGTAATTAATTCTTAAATATATAAATTCTTGGTACGAATTTAAAATAGAAAAGAAAAAGGTAAATATATTAGTCATTGTTTTTATCACTTATACTAATCACGTGTTTAATTTAGAATAAAATTATAAACCTCTAAATATTTAAAGTTATTTATGAAAGACGTAAAACTCTACCGATTTAAAATTAAGATTTTTGCACTTATTTTGTTCTCTTTTACTTATACAACTATCTTTTAAACTTAATTACTTTACTCTTACATTTTTACTAGTTTTTTTTCTTTGCTTTTTCATTATTACTTAATTTGTAACTATTATTTTGCTTTTAATTCTTATTATTCTTGTTTTTTGCATTACTGGACTATATTTTGCTATTATTTGAAGTTGCTATTTTTCACTATTTTTTCTTTCTATTTTCACTATTTCTTCTTCTTTTACTCTTATTTTAATTTCTTTTACTCTTATTATAATCATTTTTTTTTCCTTGACTTTTTTTCTTTATTTATACTTTTTTTCATATACCTATTTACGTTACTTTCAATACTTACTTTTTAAATAAAATTTTTAAATTGAACTAATATTTATAAAAAAGATTGCTGTAAGAGTATACATAAACATGTAATTAATTCTTGTTCTATCTTACACCATATGTCATAATGAATTTTTTTTTACTTTTATATGGCATTTGAACTTAAATACAATATTGTTTACAAATTTAAAACTTAAAAAAATTACGAAAATACTTAAAAATTTCAATTTAACGAAGACAATAAGAACAATTTATAGTTTTTATTTCCTTTATCCTTTATTTTCATGCAAATTTTTGTTTTCTGTTCAAATTCTCCCATTAATTCACATTATGATTTAGAAATCAGAATCATTTTTTCATGTATTACAATTCATTGCGTGCATCAAAAACATAAAAATACAAGCACAAAAAGCTACTAATTCCTATAATAACGCTAAAAGCACTCATGCTGTAATTTTAATGAATGCCATTTGTTATTGTCGTTGAAGCTCCTTGAAAAAAATTTCCGCTTGACTTAGAATATGGAAAATGAAAGATAATATTAGACAAAGCTTGAGAGAAAGTATAAATGGAAAAGTTCTGGAAATTGTCGGATTTATTATTTCAAGATGCATCTCAACAAAATATTTTTCGTGTCCACATTTGCTTGCTTCCTGTCCAATGTGCTTTCATTCTGTCATATACAATATTTAAAGGCTGATATTATTCCGGAAATATTTCATCTGATGCCAGAATATACAATTAAGGTATTCAAATTTTTTCATTTTAATATTTGTATTATTTGCAACAAGTTAACAGGCTTAACTTAGCATCTTTATCCTAGTATGGCTTACACTCATTTTTTTTCATATTCGTAAATTAAACTTTAACGTGTTAAACATGTATGATTGGGGTTCACCCCAGTATAGAGAAATTCGTAGCAAAATGTTCGACATGAAATCATACGCATGGACGACAAATTTGTCGCCTTGAAATATGTTTGGAATTTACAAAATAGTAAGGAAAAATAGTTTTTTGGATCGAATTCATTGCATTTAAACAAAAATTTCTGAAATTAAATGTTGAAATTTCATATATACAGGTTGTGCTGTGCTTTGCATTCATGTTCTGACAGTATAGTTGTTCATTAATAAATAATATTTATTGCTCTTATAGAATTGACTTAATTTAAAATTTTATAGTTTTAAGATAATTAATTCTTTATATAATTTTTGTTCGTTCTTACTTTGTCTGTTTTCCTCATTTATTTACTTATTTGGTTTATGAATTTTAATCTCTATATTGAATCTATTTGTTAATATTATTTTACATTTTTTCAGTTAGTTTTAAAAAATACTAATCATTATTCATTATGGGGTAATGAACTTTAGTTTGCTTTAGATTAAATAATTTGTGATGCGTACCATAACATAATTGGGAAGTTTGATTTTTTTCATAAGAGTTTGTCTACCATATTAAGTTTTTTGACCACTAAAAAATACTTAAGTGGTCCTATAAAACCACTAAATTTTCATTGCTGATATTAAGAAAAGATAAAAGGGGATAAAAAAAGAACTTGCATATTCAATATTCATATTATTTCACAAAGGATTCTCAGGGATGTCAACACTTAATATGTATTTTTTTTAATTCTTGTGAAAATTAAGTAAAAAAAATATACATATTAGGGGGAAAAAGTAGACATATCGCTGGCAAACAACTCCCTACCGCAATATAACTAATCAATACAATAAAATGCTGTAATAAAAAGCGTTAAACTCTGTTTGATTGTCTTATAAAACTTTTTGGAGTATCGAAAACTGCTGGAAGGAAAAACTTATAACTCCTCTCTGTTTCCTCCGGCAGTCAAATAGGTTTCGACGTTTACAGTTCCGTATTTTTTAGCAGTGATTTATTAGCAGTGTTGACATAAAATATCCTCAGTGATAGACGCATCATGGGTTAGAGTCCCCTTGCCATCAGGCTAAATGTGAAAGGTTTTAGTGGTTTTCCTCTCCATGTAACTCAAATGCGAGTTAGTTCCACCAAAAAGTCCTCGACAAAAGCAAATTTCCCCCAATACTTGATCCAGGAGCTCCCTCTTAAATTACAAGACTAATTCTAGGCTAGGTTCAAAATTACAAGGCTATGGAGTTGAACATCAGTAGTCGCAAACCCGAAAATTGGGTCGGCTGTTCAACGACGGTTATAAAATAAAATAAGACAGTCTTTATGACCCTAATGTGAATACCTTTTATCCTTGCCATTTGATTTTGTAAATTTGTGTGTATAAGGTGTTAATAAATGACTCCTCATGTTGTATTTCAATGTTAAAGAAATCCCTTCCCTCCAGGGGGTATATGGAGAGATTTGACTATCGTTGCGGTGCTATTGCCCTCCCCCAGAATAAGAGGCTCTGGCACCCAGCACGCCCGCTCAGTCAAGGCCCTGAGAAAACCTAACCGAGACGTCAATTGAAATCAGAAATATAATTTATGCACCAAATATTTTTCAAATTTACTGTAACATTGGTATGATCAATATAAAAATTTAAAATCAGTATCTAAATGGTTTCTAGATGACAATTGTTGCTTAACATTTAGGGTAATTGTAATATACATATAACAAACATCTTCATATCACTTAATAAATAAGATTAAGGCGTACAATATTCGCAGAACTACTTCGATAATTATGGTAGTAGTTCGCTGAGAATCACATGATTCCAACTTTCTCACAAAACAGGTTAGTGAGTAGCAGTTTGAGAAGTTAAAGCTCCCTTTGTTATATATATTTGCTAATACTTTTCAAAAATGAAGTAAAAATACACACATTAGAAGCAGCATTTAAGATAGAATGTTTCAGAAACGCTCTCGGAATCTGTCGAATCATTAGTGAGAAAGGAGTGCTGAAAATCATTAAAAGCAATTTGAATTTCCTTGGTACAACTTGGAGGTATTTAATAATCACTAATATTGGCTTTTTAATTTTTCTGTAGAAAATTTACAGGTTTTAACGTTTTCAGTTCCGCCTTCACCAGTATTTGTAGTATTTTGATGCGTATGTTTCCCTGGCTTAAAAATTAATATAAGACCCCGATTGTGTATGCTTTTTGACAAAGTCTAAACAGGTGTCTTTAAAAAAGACACGTGTTTAGATCAGTTGTAATAAAACAGTTTTCAAATTTAGTTGTTTAATGTTAACACTTAGATACTATTTTTTTATTTAATGCTTAAATTATGAGGTTTTAAATATCACATTTTAAATTGCACCGCATTATAAATGGCTAATCACATAACTACGTAATAAATTGTACCTCAAATTGCTGAAGCAGGCAAATATTTTTTTCCCTTCATTTTTATGATTTTTGATAAGATATTACGTAAGTGTTACACTCAAATTAAGTTAATACACAAATTACTAGTCATTTTCCAATAACAAGGCGATTATTAATACTCAATTTATACGAACTTTATTATTACTACACTGAACTTTATTTAAAATTAATTGGCATTTTTTAATAAATTGTATAAATTAAATATTAGCAATGAGCTAAGTTTTCCATTTATATTTTAAGTGTTCTGTAATGAATAAACTTAATATATTATTATCCTTACCAAAATAATATCAAAAAACCAAAGTATTGAAAAGGTTAAATAGAGAAAAAAGCTTTATCAAAATTTGGCGAATAATGATCGAGAACTTCTATTAAAAATATTGAAATCAATCTTTTTATCAAGGAAAATGGCAACAGTAGAGAGGTGATCTTTTAGTTTCCAAAAATATTTTTGTTGTTATTAATTTATTTTTTAAAAAATATCTTTAAAAGGTTGCTAGAAATGAATAATTATGGAAGGATATAATTTATTAGGTGTGTTATGGTCACTATGAAGTAAACTGTGGTGCAGATGTCAACATAAATAGAACACAGGAAGAGCCATCTCTTTTTTGGAGAAGTAGCAATAGCAATATACTTTATACTCTTTTAATGATTGGTGAGTATCTTTTCTAAAATCTATTCCCCCACATATAAAAAAAGGTAATATAATTAATAAAAATGATATTCAAATCAATTTAATTTTAGTTTATTAGGATGGAAGATTTCAGACTTTAAATAATTTAATTACCCTTATAATATACAGGGCATTCCAGAATCGTCATTCTTCTTTTCTCTCTAAAAAGAAAGTTGCGAGTTATGATACTTCTTTTATCTCACCTTTCTAACTAGTGTTGAAAGCATTTTTTTTCTAAATTAAATATTTATCTGTGACCTTAATTGTATAAAAAAAAAATTTCGTTTGGGACAAGGATTTTAAAATACGTATTTAGAGCAGTCTGTGCGTAACACTGTGCATAAGATGTTTGGTTCCAAAATCAAAAAAGATTTCTAAAAAATCATCTATTATTTATCCATTTGAAATTCAAATTGAATGAAAATTTTATGACTAACGTTAAATTGCTATAACTCCTAAACGAATAAGTTTCTTTCGCAAGGTATTCTATTAACCCCTTCCTTTTCGCTCCCGTGAAAATGACGGGGTGAGGTTTCGCCCTCTATTTCTCGCTCCCGTTATATTTCCGGGCTGGAGTGCTCAGTAGTAACTCGCCAATATGAATAAAACTAATTCATTTCTTTTATTTCTCATTTTACACACCAGAAGGCAGTTCCAGGATATTTTTAAAGTAACTGTAGATAGTTAGTTTATTTTAAACTAGATGTCAGCACTAATCAAATAGCTCTAATAAAAAATAGGCACTTTTATGACCGTTTTCCTGAAAATTAACCGATCGTTAAGGGGTTAAGAACGATCTTGATACATATTTTAGTGAATTATTTAAATAAGGGAGAAAAAAACTGCTATTTAGGAGTGATGGCAAACGAATCATTAATGAAAACAGAAAAAGCTGTTAGATTGCCAGAGGAAGAAGAAAAATGTTGAAAGACCATTATTATGAACACCTTTGAGTTAAACTACGCAATGAAACTACTTCTGACTCTTTTCATCTCAACTTCCCAGCAGGTAAGTCATCAGATTACCAACAATAACAGATTACCTGATTACCAACAATAATTTAACTTCTTCATCGCTAAAATGTTAATTTACGACACCTTAGTGTGCTTACTTTTTGGTTGTGCTCTTACAATAATTCTTAAAATGTATTTTTAGAGAGGTAATTACGGTGGTATTGTGCTAGCTGTACAAATATTCTTTAGAAGAACCTGCCTTGTTTTATGACATAACACTACATGCATTAAGGGATAAAAATATTGTGTGGCATACTATAAATGAAATTTGTATTTTTTCAATTCTAAAACTTATTTTTAAGTTTTTTTAATTTTTAAAAAAAAATTTCCTTACGTATTTAAATGCAATTTTTCAAATAAAATTTTGCATTTTTTTTAAAATTATAATATTTACTTTTAAGATATTTATATATTTTTTTAAATTAAAGTTTTTACCCATTTTAATAAATTTTTAAAATTCTAATATTTATTTTGTAAGATATTTGTTTTCGTTAAATACATTTTTGCACTGAAATTCATTTTTTTTAAAAATTGTAATGCTTATTTTTTTAAGATCCTGATGCTCCTTATCCCCAGAACCCAACTCTGCAGAATTATCTTCATTGGATAATAGTAAACATACCAGGGAACAACATCAAAGATGGGGATTTAATAGCAGACTATGTTGCTCCCAATCCACCACGTGATTCGAGTATGTATGTTCGAAGCCTCTTTTAAAACAAGATTTGGAATAACTTATTTAAATTAACAATTTTTCCACCAAAAACACTTGTTTAAGTTGTATAAATATAAAAATTAAAGCTCATATTAAAGTTGTAATTTTATTTGTTAATAAAATATTTGTAAAATAAGCTATGAATAATGATATCAGTAAATGATTTTTACTTAGAAATTAGAGGAACGTTTAAAATGATATTAAGTACATTTTTGTTAAAAATAATAACTTAAAATATAAGGTAAAAAATATTTTTTTTACAATACTGCCTACATCTCAAAAAGTTGATATATAGTATACAAGTAGTACAAATAGTATACAAATAGTATATAAGGTATAAAAGGCGCACAAGATTTATAAGCAATACGAGGTACAAATAATATACACAATTTTCCGAAATCTCCAACATTAATATTTATTTTTAGAATTTTTAAGAAATATGAAGACAAAAAATAAGTAATCAATATTTAAGCGAACAAACAATGAAAACCCCGGTGAAATTCGGCAAAACATTTATGAGAAGAAAAAGGTATTGAAAATACACTGGTGGACAAAATTAAAACATCAGAATTATACACAGCTTCAATGGGCTAATGTTCTCTTCACCGATGAGTCCAGATTCAGTCTACAACCTGATTCTGGACGGTTATTGATTTGGAGGGAACCTGAAACCCGATACCATCCCAGCAACATTATCGAAAGGGACCATTATGCTGGTGGAGGACTCATGGTTTTGGGCAGGAATCATGCAAGATACCCGCACACCGCTCCATGTGTTTGACAATGGTTCCGTGAATGCCCAGAGGTACAGGCAGGAAATCCTAGAGCCCCGTGTGCGTCTTTTCCTGCCCTGTTGGCCCTGAGTTCATTTTTATGGACGACAATACGCGACCACATAGGACTCTCATGGTTGATGAGTATCTGGAAAGCGAGGATATTCAACGAATGGATTGGCCAGCCAAATCCCCTGACCTGAATCCTATTGAACATGCTTGGGATGCTCTTGGGAGAGCTATTGTGATGCGCCAACCTCCCCCTAGAACCATTCTGGAGTTAAAAATTGCTCTGGTGGAAGAATGGGAGGGTCTTCTACAAGTCCTCTTTAACTCCCTTATTAACAGCATGCATACTCGTTGTGCATGCCGTCTGTCTGTCAGAGGTGACCATGCACCATACTAGAGGCAACACACACTGTTCAAGCCTCACTTTTATTGTCATCTTTTATCCTTAAGTTCAGACTACATTGGATTTATTGGCAGTAGGTCTTGCCAGTGAATGGCACTTTCATTTTTGTTTTGCATACTTTATAATGGAATAAGCTATATCCTTACCAAATTTCATTTATTTATATTCAGTATTTTTTTAGATATTTGGGAAAATGTCTTCCATCTCTTAATTTTGTCCACCAGTGTATAAAAACCTTTTTAATTGCCTGACGAAACATGAAAGTAATTTAATATTCAATTTTCGACTCCTAAATATTTCCTGGGACAATCAAACAAATTCTAACATATTTACCTGCCTTTCTTTCACATTTTATCTCTTTTTATTATTAACTCACAACCCTTCATGCCCCTAAGATATTTTTGCAGTAATAATTTATAAGGATTCCAAATATGAATATTAAGAGTGGCGATTACGAAACTTCCTGCACTTTTTGTAAATTTATATATAAATTTTTTTTCTTATTTTTTGCACGAAAGTTTAGCATGTACCGCCAGTGTAAGACATTTTTTAATAAAATATGAATGCTCGAAAATATACATCGAGATCTCTTTTTCTTCCAGATCGACATCGATACATATTTGTAGTTTACAAACAGGACTGTCGTCTTCCAGCACAAAAATGGAGTCAAGGAAATGAAAATTTCAACCTAGACAAGTATCTTCAAACTCAGAATTTGTCACCATATCCACACGCTATGAATTTCTTCTTTGTACAAAAATAATAAACATTCTTATTCTAAAAGATGAATGATTTGAACATCTGGGTGATTCTTTTTAAACATGACAATTCGGACCAAAAAATTTCTTCAAATTTAAAGTCTTCAAAATAATCTAATTTTTTTTTTTGTATGCTTCTTTAGTTACATCTATTAATATCTTACAGACAGCAGTGTAGTCTATTGACATTTGCTCGAGAAAAAAAAAATAAAATAGAAATTCACCAAATCTTGAATGCCAGGAAATTGACATATTGGCTTAGAAGTTTAAAAAACAGTCATTTTAAGCCTTTATGTTAGATGGACAATAAATTGCTTAAATTAGTTCTTTTTATCCACTGTAGAAAGAATCTTTTTTTTTTGTTGCTGATATGTACAAAATAAAATTGTGTATAATAATCAATCATTAAATAAATAAATAACTTTGATTACATCCAACCATATTACAATCATGCGTAAACTTGGTATTAGGTTAATATTTGCTTTTCCTCCTTACAGTATTAGCAGTTAAAAAAAAATTTGGTAACAATTCAATGTCCTGAAATTCGTAAGCCAGGATAATGACAAATTCGCCATTTTATAGCATATAACTTAACTATAATTTAATATTTTGGTCTAAGACGTTTACATTCTGCAGAAAACAACAGGATTTCTTAAAATAACTCTATGTATAATCAATGTATTATAATCTGTAAATCTATGTATTTTATGTTATTAATGATTTCAAGAGGCCAGGAAAATGACAGCATAAAAACCTACTCACCTTGAAAAATTTTTTGAAATAGATTTTGAACCAGAAAATTGGTTCTTTATTCATGCAACAAGACATGTTCATATAGGAGGGTATGTAATCAATCTATTGACATTAGATATTGATTGCTGCCTCTATCTATTTTGGTTATAAACCATTAAATAAAAGTAGCCAGGAAAATGACAGATTCTTTTGGGACAAACATATTATTGACAGAAAAAATTATTTTAAAAAACGAAGTTTTTGTAAATAATACCGTCTACCTATATTATAGAAATGCTTACACCGGTTGAGATAAAAAAAAATTGACATTGAAAAATTTATGGGAAGTTTTGTTGCTAGTTATTAGTGGAAACATTGTTTGGGACATGCCAGGAAAATGACATTTTGTAGTTCAATTAAATTTTTTAACTGTACAAAACAGTCAATGCTAGTGCAAAGTCATTTTAAAATGCAAGCAGAAATGCAATTTATTAATTTTTTTTAAAAAAAGTTCTTTTAGTATTATAGTATTAGATCTTGGAGCAAGGTACAGTGAATTGTCATATTTCGTGAGAATCACCCATCTATTCTATAAAGATGAATGAATTTGAACATCTATTCTATAAAGATGAATGAATTTGAACATCTATTATTTAAAGATGAATGAATTTGAACATCTATTCTATAACGACGAATGAATTTAAACATCTATTCTATAAAATTGAATGAATTTGAACATTTATTCTATAAAAATGAATGAATTTGAACATCTATCCTATAAAGATGAATGATAATTAGGCGAAGCTGAGATTATACCGGGTAACTAAGATTCAGAGCCTGATGGAGCTATGCTATTACATATAAACACTGTCCGATTTGACCAAGATATTCATTGTTTAGCTGTATGCAATATATCATTCTCGAAATGTTATAGATGTGCTACTTTTTATAAAAAAAATTTCTAAAAAAAATCAGGTCACCCAAAAATTACCCCGCTAGTGGAGTAAGTTATGTTAGCTGTACAGGAAATTTAGAATACTAGAATTTAAGTGAAAAAGTAGCAGACATTTATATTTTATATGAAACTTTAAGAAAATTATGAATGTAATTTATATGTAATGAAGTCAAGATCGTACTCAGGAGGTGTGGGAAAGAGGTCCCAAGAGAAACAGAGGTCCTAGTGTCACAGACTCCTGATGGTCCGATCGAAATTCCTCACGAAAAAAATAGTGCTTTTTAATTAGTTTTTTTTAAGAACATTACAGAAAACTCCTTTAATAATTACATAAAACTATAATTTTGTATAAATACTCTTCAAAAGTTCAGCAAAATATGAAAAATATTATCATAAAATACATCTCTTATACTTTCTCTCTTTAAAGTAAAACATTTCACTATTATCGTCTGCCAATTTCATCCGTTTTATTATTTTTTTCCCGCAGATGATTAATTTCAACGTAAATACTTAAAAACATCAGCGACCTCTCTTAGACAAAAATATTTAACTTAAAACATCTTTTGTTTCGAATCAAAGTTATAAAGCTGAGTTGAGCAAACACCACTAACAAGAAGCAAAACAGAATAAATAAAAAGAATTTGCATAAATTAAAGTAAAGCAAAGGCTTTAGATTATTCTGCATCTCCTGCACTTTTACGTGGCGGCAATTTTATGTATTGAAAAATAGAAAATTAATATTATTTGCGGGTGGGATAGAGAGTATTGGTTTGCTGTAACTGCAGCTAGAGGGGAGTTGTAAATTTTTTTTTTTTCATTTTGAATTTGACTACTGATAGTTAATCAATGATTAAGAAAACTTAAGAAAATTAAATATTTTAAAATATTCCAGTTCATTTTAAAAAAACCAATTTACTTCGTTTTTTCCCATTAATGGTATTTATTCGATTTTTTAAAGCATAATATAAAATTCAAGTTAATTTTTTTTGAAACCTAACACTTAATATTAAATAAAATGTTTATAATAATATCGTTTGATTTCGCAGTTAAATTCTATTGCCAGCAGAAGTGATTGAGGAATAGTTTTCGAACTAGAATCATGCAGTGAAAAGGAAAATAATACTCGTAGTTGTTAAAGTTTAGAAAAAAAAGCATAAATAATAATTTAATATTTCGATTTTTTTTAAGTAAATTATTATAGGGGAAAGAAACGGTTAAAGCTGGTCCTAGAAACTTTTTCTTTTCATTTCTTAAAAAAAATCTGTGAATAAAATTGCTTTAATTTTATTTGAAGGATAAAATGGCTTTTTAGCTCCAAACATAAAAACTATTTAATGTAAAGTCCTAGTAAAGACTAAATACTGTATTTTTTAATTATTATTTTGCTAAAATTCGGTTTTATTCGAACTAGTTGGATGCCATTATATAAATTTTTATTACGCTTGAGTTAGTAATAAAATTTTATAATTTTTAAAATTTTAATATAAATGCCGAAATTTCAGATTTGGCAACATCGAATTTCTCTCTCCAGAGGGAAAATAAAGAGATTATGAATTTTGCTACATTTGACAACCAATTCAAGTGCGAGTATATAAATTAAAGAACTCGAGGGAGATAAATAAAATTTTCTATAACAATAGATAAATAGTCATTATTTAAAGCGAAAAAGAGAGGATCGAATTCGCGAAAAAATAACTTTCGTACAAATTGGAAATTCGAAAAGAACTCGTGTTTAGTTGATACACAAATTTCACCCTTTCCTCACGCCAAATTCCACCTCTATAATTGCATTTCAGTGATCTGTGGTAGGGTAAACTAACCAGTGAAGGAACACTTAAGCTTCGCTTGCCTTTTAAAAAATCATATAAATTTCACAATTCGTAATTTCAGTTAAATGACAGTGTCAACATATTTGCTACTAATTGCAAATTATGTAAAAAAAATTGTAGAGAACTTACATAATATTTTTTTAAAGTTTTGGAGGTTCAAATAACAAGTAGTAAGAAGACCAAGTGAAGGAACAGCTCTTACCAGTGAATGAACACCCAGTAAAGGAACACTTAATTTTGGTTATTTTTTAATGCTCTTTATGAATTTATAAGCCATACAAATATTTAAAAACAAGCCTATTCTTGAAATTATAACGTATAAATACTTGGAAAATTTTAACTTTTTTTGTAATCATGAATTCAAAATTAAAGTGTCAACATATTAACACATACTGTTCATTCACTGGGAAATCTATGCCCAGTAAAGGAACATACCTGTTCCCTCACTGGTTAGAAGTTGTCTTTCGTATTTTTGACATACTTTTCATGCGGAACATCACTAAAGGTACAAGAAAATTAAAGTTCATCTTTCATTTTCATTAACTTAGAAAAAAAACCAGTAAAGGAACACCTGTTCCTTCACTGGTTTTTCATCGTTTGGTGATCCAGTGAATAAACACCCCCTTATCTCAGTACTTTATTATGCTATGATGCTTAAAAAAAATAAAACGTAACTTCAATAACTATATTTTGAATTCTCTTTTTCACAGTGAAAAAAATAAAACTATTACATGCAATTATTCCACTTCAAACATATAAATACAAACACTCACCTTATAATTTTTTCAAAGAAACAAGGTGTTGCAGAGATAATAACAAATTCAAAAAATTTTCCAGCGAAGTCTATTTGACCAGTTAATCCAAAACATTGCTAGATGACTTCCTATTGTTTGGCAGTAAGCTATTGTTACCAATCATTCGAAAGAAAAGCTTTCTAACTAAAGAAAATATTTTTTTAATAACAATTTGGGTAAATATTTTTCATAATTTTATTCAATGATGCTTAGAATAAATATCATTCATAGACAATTAGGATAAGTATTTTTTCATCAATGATTAAGATAAATAATATTCATGGATGAATCTTGATCATAGATTGATGTTTAAGAGGCCTTTTTTTTCTTTTAACACATTTCAACTGTTAAATGTTATTTTCGCTTATGACATGATACTCGTCTTTCACAAATACAAACGTATAAAAATATATTAATTAACTTTATCTTTTCGAATAGATAGGTAGGTATTTTTTTTACGTCACACCAGAGCTGCACAATGAACCATTGGCTACGGTCTGGGAAATATCCCTGAGGATGATCTGAAGACATGCCATTGCAATTTTAATCCTCTGCAGAAGGGATGGGTCCCCTGTTTTTGGTAACCAGACGTCGTGCACGTGAAGTCGAGCACTTTACGGTAGGACAGTTTGTCGAGAACCGATACCACGCACCCTCGGTCCCTACGCAGCCTGATCAAAGTGGTCACCCACCCGATTTCTGACAGCAACCAGTG